TGTTGGTACCTGGATGCTACGTTGTTGCCATGTTGACACCTGGATACTACTTGTTGCCATGTTGGTACCTGGATGCTACGTTGTTGCCATGTTGATACCTGGATGCTACGTTGTTGCCATGTTGATACCTGGATGAGATGTTGCCATGTTAGTACCTGGATGCTACGTTGTTGCCATGTTGATACCTGGATGCTACGTTGTTGCCATGTTGGTACCTGGATACTACTTGCTGCCATGTTGGTACCTGGATGCTCACGTTGTTGCCATGTTATTGATACCTGGATACTAACGTTGTTGCCATGTTAGTACCTGGATACTACTTGTTTGCCATGTTGGTACCTGGATGCTACGTTGTTGCCATGTTGACACCTGGATACTACTTGTTGCCATGTTGGTACCTGGATGCTACGTTGTTGCCATGTTGACACCTGGATACTACGTTGTTGCCATGTTGGTACCTGGATGCTACGTTGTTGCCATGTTGATACCTGGATGCTACGTTGTTGCCATGTTGGTACCTGGATGCTACGTTGTTGCCATGTTGGTACCTGGATGAGATGTTGCCATGTTAGTACCTGGATGCTACGTTGTTGCCATGTTGATACCTGGATGCTACTTGTTGTTTGCCCGTATTGATACCTGGATTAGATGTTGCCATGTTGTTGGTACATAAAACTATGGATGCTCGTTGTTGCCATGTTGATACCTGGATGCGTTATTTAGCGTTGTTGTTAATGTTGATACCTGGATGATGTTTTGCCATGTTAGCGCCTGGATACTACGTTGTTACCACAGTTGGTACCTGGAATGCTATGTTGTTGTTACCATATTGACACCTGGATACTACTTGTTGCCATGTTAGTACCTGGATGAGATGTTGTACCTAGTGTGCTGGTACCTGGATGAGATGTTGCATAGATGCGTATTGTTGTTGAGTACCTGGATGCTACGTTGTTGCCATATTTGATACCTGGATGCTACGTTGTTGCCATGTTGATACCTGGATGCTCACGTTGTTTTGCCATTGTTGGATAATTCCGGATGCTGCGTTGTTGCACCTGTTAAGGCTTCTATTCCTAGATACGAATATCTTACCATACCATGTTGGTACCCGGATGAAGATGTCCCTGCCACAGTTAGAATACCTGGATGCTACGTTGTTTGCCATGTTGACCTGGATGTCCTGATGCTGGCCGTTTGTTGCCCATATTTTGATTTGATATTTCTGGATGAGATGTTGCCGTTGGTACCTTTTGGTACCACCTGGATTACTGGCAAGCTGACGCTGATACCCAGCTCGTTGCTACGTGGCCATGCTATTGTTACGTTGATACTATGATGTGAACATGTTGCGTATTGACACTTTCAGTACCTGGATGCTACATTGTTGCCATGTGTTAGGTACCTGGATGCTATGTTGTTGCCATGTTGATGTTGCTTTGTGCTGCTGGTACACTGGTTGCCATGTTACTGGAACCTGAAACATGGTGGCGGTACCTGGATGCTCGGATGAGATGTTTGCTGTGGTTGGTACCTGGATGCTCGTTACGCCAGTGTTTGCCATGTTGTATGGCGAATTGATGCCTGGATGCTACTTATTGTTGCCATGTTGATACCTGGATGCCTGGCATAGCCATGTTGATAGCCTGGATGAGAGATGTTTGCCATGTTGGCACCTGTAGATAGCTACCGCCTGGATGTTGCCACATGTTGATAGCAATCTGGATGCTTACGTTGTTGCCGCCATGTTGATACCTGGATGAGATACATGTTGCCATGTTAGTACCTGGATGCTACGTTGTTGCCATGTTGGTACCTGGGACTGGATGCTAAGGTTTGTTGCCATGATGACAATCTGGATACTGCACATTTGCCATGTTAGTACCTGGATGAGATGTGCCCAATCTGAAGACACATGCTGTGCTGGTACCTGGATGAGATGTTGCTGTGTTGTTACCCTGGACACATTACACGTTGTTGCCATGTTGCACCTGGACGGATGCTCGTTGTTGCCATGTTGATACCTGATGCCATGCCACGTTGTTGCCATGTTGATACCTGGATGCACACGTTGTTGCCATGTTGGTACCCTGGATGTTCGTTATGTTGCCATGTTGGTACCTAATCCTGGATGAGATGCCGCCCATGTTAGTACCTGACCGCTTGCGATGCCTACCAATAGTTGATACCCTGGATGTACCTGGACGCTTGTTGCCATGTTGATACCTGGATGAGATGTTGCCATGTTGGTACCTGGATTACGTTGTTTGCAGAGCCATATTGATACCTGGATGCTACGTTGTTGCCATGTTGATACCTGGATGAGATGTTGTTGCCATGTTAGTACCTGGATGCTCGTTATTTGCCATGCAACATTATTGTACCTGGACGCTATGTTGTTGCCATGTTGACACCTGGATACCACTTTGTTGCCATGTTAGTACCTGGATGAGAATGTTGCTGCAAGCTGGTACCCTGGATGAGATGTTGCTGTGTTGGTACCTGGATGCCTACGATTGTTGCCATGTTGGTACCTGGATGCTCACGGTTGCCACTCTTGGTTGATACCTGGATGCTTTGCCACGCTTGCCGCCATGTATGATACCTGGATGATTCCATGTCACCATGTTAGTACCTGGATGAGATGTTAATTTGCTGTGCTGGTACCCTGGATGAGATGTTGCAAATGTTAAGCATCCACAGATGCCACGTTGCTGAACGGTGCTACGTTGGTACCTGAATGAGATATTTTCAGCAGATGTTGGCACACCTGGATGAGATATCTTTGCCATGTTGGCACCTGGATGCTTCCAGAGCATTGTTGCCATGCTGGGACCTGGATGCCACCTGTTATTGCCATGTTGATACCTGGATGAGATGTTCCCATGTTGGCACCTGGATGCTCAAAAGATCACATTCATTGCCATGTTGGGACCTGGATGCCATTATTGCTGCCTGCGTTGGGACCTGGATGCTATTGTTGCTGTTAGGAACCTGGATGCTACGCTGTTTCTGATTTGCCATGTTGGCACCTGGATGCCACGTTGTTGCCATGTGTTGACACCTGGATACCTACTTGTTGCCATGCTGTTAGTACCCGGATGAGATGTTGCTGTGCTGGTACCCGCAGCCTGGATGAGATGTTGCTGTGTTGGTACCTGGATGCCACGCTTTGCCAGCCATGTTGGTACCTGGATGCTACGTTGTTGCCATGTTGATACCTGGATGCTTCGTTGTTGCCATGTTGATACCTGGATGAGATGTTGCCATGTTAGTACCTGGATGAGATGTTGCTGTGCTGGTACCTGGATGAGATGTTGCAATGTTGGCATCTGGATGCTACGTTGTTGCCATGTTGGTACCTGAATGAGATGTTGCCATGTTGGCACCTGGATGAGATGTTGCCATGTTGGCACCTGGATGCTACATTGTTGCCATGTTGGGACCTGGATGCTACGTTATTGCCATGTTGATACCTGGATGAGATGTTCCCATGTTGGCACCTGGATGCTACATTGTTGCCATGTTGGGACCTGGATGCTACATTGTTGCCATGTTGGGACCTGGATGCTACATTGTTGCCATGTTGGGACCTGGATGCTACGTTATTGCCATGTTGGTACCTGGATGCTACATTGTTGCTATGTTTAATTGGTTCAAACAGATGTTGCCATGTTGGCACCTGGATGCTATGTTGTTGCCATGTGGGTATCTTGGTGGCAAGAAACGTTGGTACCTGGATGAGATGTTGCCATGTGGGTATCTTGGTAAGGCGTTGGTACTTGGAGTGAAATGTTGCTGTGTGGGTATCTTGGTAAAGACGTTGGTACCTGGATGAGATGTTGCTGCCTGATGTGGGTATCTCTTGGTAAGATGTTGGTACCTGGATGAGATGTTGCCATGTGGGTAACTTGGTAAGGCGTTGGTACCTGCAGGATATGTTGGTATCTTGGTAAGCAGTACCTGGATGAGATGTTGCAATGTGGGTATCTTGGTAAGACGTTGGTACTTGGAGGAAATGTTGCTATGTGGGTATCTTGATAAGATGTTGGTACCTGGAGGATATGTTGCTATGTGGGTATCTTGGTAAGACATTGGTACCTAGATGAGATGTTGCTATGTTGGTATCTTGGTAAGATGTTGGTACCTGGATGAGATGTTGCTATGTGGGTACCTTGGTAAGATGTTGGTACCTGGATGAGATGTTGTTATGTGGGTATCTTGGTAAGATGTTGGTACCTGGAGGATATATTGCTATGTGGGTATCTTGGTAAGACTTTGGTACCTGGATGAGATGTTTCTATGTGGGTATCTTGGTAAGATGTTGGTACCTGGATGAGTTGTTGCTATGTGGGTACCTTGGTAAGATGTTGGTACCTGGATGAGACGTTGCTATGTGGGTATCTTGGTAAGATGTTGGTACCTGGAGGATAAATTGCTATGTGGGTATCCTGGTAAGATGTTGGTATCTGGATGAGATGTCGTTATGTGGGTATCTTGGTAAGATGTTGGTACCTGGTTATGTTGCTATGTGGGTAATTTGGTAAGATGTTGGTACCTGGATATGTTGCTATGTGGGTACCTTGGTAAGATGTTGGTACCTGGATGAGATGTTGCTATGTTGGTATCTTGGTACGATGTTGGTACCTGGATGAGATGTTGCTATGTGGGCATCCTGGTAAGATGATGTTGCTATGTGGGATCTTGGTAAGATGTTGGTACCTGGATGAGATGTTGCTATGTGGGATCTTGGTAAGATGTTGGTACCTGGATGAGATGTTGCTATGTGGGATCTTGGTAAGATGTTGGTACCTGGATGAGATGTTGCTATGTGGGTATCTTGGTAAGAAGTTGGTACCTGGATAAGATGTGCATGCTCTCTCTTTCTCTCTCTCTACCGATCAATCGATCTACTCCAACCAGAGACCATATATGGTCTCTGCTCCAACCCACTCAAATGTATCACTATTTCATTGAACAGTCAAAACAAAAGACTTATACATTTAAAAAAATAAATAGTTTATTACAAAATATGTGTTAGTCATCATACAGTGATTGAGAAAACATGGAATGCAAATGAAGATCATAGCACTATTTACACAATATGGGGTGCATTGGTACACAAGCAACTGATACAGGCTTACTGCAATGTCCTGTGTGCATGCAAAGTTATACATCCTGGTGTTAACAAGCAACATCATAGCTTACCTACATATATATTTCTGTATGTCCAGGTAACCATCACTCAGTAATTACATGCAATGAAAACAAATGTGCATGGATATTATTCTAGTTTCTACATATGAATGAAAGACAAGGTTGATTAATCATGGTATATTTACAAATCAGTTCCAGTTTTCGTTTACATACAATGAATCACCATGATGCTTCACTCACTTGAACTTGAGCATAACATTAATAGTGAGTAAAAGTCCAGATAAGCTTGGAGCTGAGGTAACACAATGCAAACATCATCAGACTGAAGATTTTATCAATAATATGACATAGGCCTATTGCACATGAAAAGAATAAGATTGGGACCAAGTTAGTGGACTAGTTTAATAATAGTTATAATACATAGAAAACACATAATATTTGTAAACATGATCTATATATTATTTATCGCATCTGTACATATGGTATATAACTTCCATATCACATCTGTACACATGGTATATACATTACATGTCAAATCTTCACAGATTGTATATATCTTCCATACCACATCTGTACATATGGTATATACATTACATGTCAAATCTTCACAGATTGTATATATCTTCCATACCACATGTGTACATATGTACAGCTAACCTTCTAGTGCTTGACAAAACACCTTGGGTTGTGTACTTCCCAGGAAAACATCAGAATGAAAATCGATGCACACTTATTAACTGACTGTAGTTATAAAGTTAGTGATTTGAGCATGCACCTTGGGTTTTCAGTCTCACACAACTGACATACACACATTATTATTTTTATGACAAACATCCCAATGAAATCTGTACCGGTACCTATTTCACCTGTCAGTACAATGGCAACATGATAATACTGTTAAACAACTGGACAAAGGACCAGTGAATGTCACACATTTCTGTCTGCTCCACTTCATTTTGCTTTGACATTTTCTCTGAAAATAAGCAACATTATCACCTGTAAAGCTTGCACCACTCACTGCACAGTACTGGCAAGACAATGAGACAGAGGCAACACACAGCTCTAGGACATGGCCACAACATCCGTCAGATAACTCCATGTGTCATTCTTCAACATGGAGGTAACAACATCATTCAACTGCAGATCCTTGGCTATGTTGTACTGCATGCGTACATCCTTGCAGAAAGGCAGCAGCTTCTTGATGTTGTTCAGGTGTTGTTGAGGGGCACTGGTCACTGACTGCTGGAACCTGAAAACACACAGGTCATCTTACCTGGAGGTCTAATCACAGATCTTACTGCTTGCTAGCTGTTACGCTCAGTGTTACAGACTTGTATACAGTTTAAGCTAAAATAATCTAGAGTTGACATTACATAATCTGTAGTATACATTACCTAAGTTGTAGTAGATAGTACCTAATCTGAAGGACACATTACTTAAGTTGTAGTAGATAGTACCTAATCTGAAGGACACATTACCTAAGTTGTAGTAGATAGTACCTAATCTGAAGGACACATTACCTAAGTTGTAGTAGATAGTACCTAATCTGAAGGACACATTACCTATTCTGTTGTTGTAGTAGATAGTACCTAATCTGAAGGACATTACCTATTACCTAAGTTGTAGTAGATAGGTACCTAATCTGAAGGACATTACCATTACATTACCTAAGTTGTAGTAGATAGTACCTAATCTGAAGGACACATTACCTATTCTGTAGTATACATTACCTAAGTTGTAGCAGATAGTACCTAATCTGAAGGACACATTACCTAAGTTGTAGTAGATAGTACCTAATCTGAAGGACACATTACCTAAGTTGTAGTAGATAGTACCTAATCTGAAGGACACATTACCTATTCTGTAGTATACATTACCTAATCTGAAGGACACATTACCTATTCTGTAGTAGATAGTACCTAAGTTGTAGTAGATAGTACCTAATCTGAAGGACACATTACCTATTCTGTAGTAGATAGTACCTAAGTTGTAGTAGATAGTACCTAATCTGAAGGACACATCACCTATTCTGTAGTATACATTACCTAAGTTGTAGTAGATAGTACCTAATCTGAAGGACACATTACCTAAGTTGTAGTAGATAGTACCTAATCTGAAGGACACATTACCTATTCTGTAGTAGATATTACCTAAGTTGTAGTAGATAGTACCTAATCTGAAGGACACATTACCTATTCTGTAGTAGATAGTGCCTAAGTTGTAGTAGATAGTACCTAATCTGAAGGACACATTACCTAAGTTGTAGTAGATAGTACCTAATCTGAAGGACACATTACCTATTCTGTAGTATACATTACCTAAGTTGTAGTAGATAGTACCTAATCTGAAGGACACATTACCTATTCTGTAGTAGATAGTACCTAAGTTGTAGTAGATAGTACCTAATCTGAAGGACACATTACCTATTCTGTAGTATACATTACCTAAGTTGTAGTAGATAGTACCTAATCTGAAGGACACATTACCTATTCTGTACAAATAAGTCACCTAAATGTTGATGCCTTTGAGTCAGTCATCAAATTGCATACAAGAACAGACTTATTTTTAACCTTGATTGTTTTACTACCAAATGTCTTAGTTAAATCATCTCTTTAATGAAACTCTGAAATCACAACATGAGGGAACAACCATATAGTATATATTCTTTCTCCATTGACACTTTTCATCAGCTGATGAGGGAGTAAAAATACACTCCACAATGCCCTGTTCCTCATGTTACAGAAGTTGGCATCCATAAAGATTTCCCTAGCATTGGTTGAATCCAGGGCATATGACATGCATCATGATAGTTATTTTGAGATTATCAGAAGAGTTTGAAAATGCTTTGTCTTTTATGAAGTAATCCAAACATTTGTGAAATTTGACCTCTAGTGACCTTCACCTTAAACAGAGGTCATAAAAAAATCAATAACTTCTCTGAGACCTGCTCAAAAGATCATATCTATTAAGTCTTATCATGGGATCACATGTTGCAACTCGATCCAAGTATTGTGACTACGGTATCAGTGAATGAAAGGTGTTCTGTGGTGTACCTGCCGATGGCCTCCTGGATCATGGCAGCTTTGAGGCGTATGTGTGACCGCAGATCCTGGAGGTAGCGGAAGTCGCCATTCAGGATCACGTTGTAATAGATGGCCTCAGACCAGTTGGCACGTTTCCCATAAGCCTCGCTGACAATCAGAGACTGTAATTACAAGTTTGGATATGAATGGGTGAGTTTGGTTTAATAAAGCATCTGGTGATATTCCCACCACACCATACCTGCCAAGGGAGGCTATGAGGTCAGTGAACCTCATCTCAAACACTATACATACACGCATGGAAACGAATAAGGGAACACATGAAAGTACAAGTGTTCCTTTAATTGTTTCCAGAATTTCACCCACAGTGCAATATATACCTTGTGAAGAAACCCGGAAAGGAATAAAGGAACACTTGTACTTTCATGTGTCTCTTATTCGTTTCCATGAGCATATCTATATTTATTACCCACGTGGTCAATGTATGGGTAGTTACATACTAATCTCGTATGTTACACGAGTGTCGTGATCGCGCTGACCTGTGCTGTAACGACTTGACCTGAGATTCTAATGATTTGATTGGATAACCGATGACCTCTCAATTTGGTCCCATTGTGACGGAACTACTTGTTCATTCATAACAAACACGTGAATTCATTCATTCTACAACTTATATGCATTGTGGAAATGTAAACATTGCGAACGTTGCCGTATCGCTGTTTAATTGTGAGACATTACATCCGTCGAAAAACATAAACGTAATTTTTCCACCAATGATGTTAGCCGAATGAAGCAACTGCAAACCAAGAAACGGGGTGCTGCGGAATAGTTTACTGTAGGAGTCTGTAATGAGTGATGACAACTGACATGCATCGTGGCGTCGGTTACCAAGGGGAGCAGACGAGAATGCGTCAAGTAGTGGCGTCAATACAGTGTGACGTCATGCAAATGTGTACTACAGAACAAAATTCTTCCGCAACCTCTTTATGAAACCGGTTTCAGTTTGAAACCATAACAATAAAAAAAATACGCTATTTTGTCAATTTAATGCATGTAAGATGTGGGTAATGAATAAAATACCACACTCGGTCTCATAACATACAAATTATACGAAACTTGTGACCTTCCTATGGTTTCTGACCTCGCTTTTGCTCAGTCAGATACCATAGGAAGGACACTCATTTCGTGTTATTCCTATGTAATGAGACCTCGTGTGGTATTCTCTATGTATACACACAAAGACTGATACTCACTAGAAACAAATATGCATGATAACAATGTTAGGAAATATAAAATTGATGTTCATTTACATAGCAGCTACAGACATACTGGACAAATCATTGATCAAACCTCAACAAACTTGGGGTGTTGTGAGATGAGAGCTGTTACGCCCTCTGGGGAGAGGTTGACTACTTGGACACCTGAAGAAAGGTGCTGAAGTTGCAGCTCCAGCAGACGCGCTTGCCGCAGACACTGATGTGCATGACGCAGACAGCTGTCCTGCAAGCAATAGCAAATGTTAGCTTCATGAGTGAGTGAGTTAAGATTTAAAGTCACATCGGCAATATTTCAGCCATATCGTGACTAGTTCGAAATTCATAATACATACATATAACATATAAAACCCTGTCAACGAAGGACAGTAAAATTACTAGATTATCACAGATGAGGTAAAACTAGCCAGCATATATCTGTAAAAGTAGAAAATTATATTTGGACAATACAATATAAAAATGGGCTATTGATCGCCAACAGTTAGCTTCATGGACATTACACAGAACACTTACATTACATATACTTTACACAGTTTAGATCATTTGTATGTGTAAAGCAGCATCCTATATTGTCACTATGACGGTTAAACTTTGCTTATTTGTTATCTTTAAAAGTCCAAGCTTTGAACCCCGCAAATAGATGACAGTTTTGTGAACATCTTTGGTTGGGCATGATACTGTTTGAAATAAAGCTGGGGAATCTGCAATGCTAAGATCCCCTTGAGACTATTGATGTAGTGGTGTATGGAATGAGTAATATTGCAACAGCTGTCTCCAGTCTCCATCGCTCTAATTCTCGAAACATTTGTAGCCCTAAGAATTCTTAACTTTGATCCTAGCCAATGTGTTACTAATGGGCTTAAGAAGTTCATAGGGCTACGAACGTTTCGAGAATAGCTAGCCAGAATACTACAGAAAGTATCAAGTACCTTTACATAGCTCTCGGCAGCATCAGAGAAGTACTGGGCACTTCTCTTAAGGTTGTCCTGAACATCTCGATTGTTTTCTGTCAGATGTAAAAGGAAAAAGAATAGTTGCCAACAAATGTCAAATAGACATTAAACTTTTTCCAAATCATTAAAGACCAAGCTTTTTTGAACATTCTTCACGTCTATCATAGCATGAAATGCTTCAAGCTGATTGTTCCACTGTTTGCTGCAAGGTTTCTAGTAATATGCATTGCTGCAAAAACGTTAAGACAACATCATCCATTGTTCATTATCAGAGGCCCAGATAAGCTGCGTATCCGGGTAAAATACACATAGAATTACACATTGAAAAATAATTGTTGCGTACCAATTACGCATTTAAAATGTTAGATACGCAGAAAGTTTAAAACAAATGCGTACGGAATATATTTATAAAAATCGCTTGCGTAATGAAAAAGACATCGATTGCTATCAAGTTGTACTGTTAGTATAGGACAAGTGTTGTACTGTCAGTATAGTATGAGTGATTTTTTATGAAATCATTACCATTATATTTAAGTTGGTTTTGATTACCGCCTCGTTTTCCATTGACTGCTAGTATACAGTAACATCGGTAAAAATGTGTGAATTTAAATGGCTTCCGTATTTTACCCCATTCCATGTGCGTATAACTTCTGCTTACCACGTTCATGAGGGTCCGTATAACCTTAGTGTTGATTATATATATTTTACATAAAACCTGTAACTAAAATTACACAATGCTATGTTATATTTCTTTGGGTTAAATAATAGTACTCTGTATTATAGTTTACTGACGACTGCGTCAGAATTCGTCCCGTTATATTATTGTGCATATTTGAACTTGATCGCCGGGAAACATGTGCACAGCTGATTGCTATTTCCAGCTAAGATACACACGGTAATCTTAATCCCTGCAAATAATACAATGCCCAGCAAAAACAACTTAGAACTTAAAAGGTAAATAATCTTGTCTAGTGATGTTTAATTGCAAATTTGATGTCTCTACTGACAAAGTCGTCTTCTGTTGTTTGTTCACGCGATTTGATATGATGTTGTTTTCTTACCCCTGGAAAAAAGTTTGACAGACTGCTCTTTTTGGTCCTCAAAATTCGGCTTATAGACGGTAATATACGGTAGGACATCTGCTTAGTAAACTTACTTAATGACATATACTTAGGTGAGTAAAATGACTGAAATACTCACATATTTGAAAGCAGTGGGTAACAGAAAAAGAAATACCCACTCAACATTCATAATACCCACTCCAAACAAATACAGTGGGTACAGTACCCACATGAGCTAAATCTTATCTGGAGCTCTGCATTATGTCAGAAATAGTAACGACTGCATGTATCCATGCCAGGCCCCAGAGACTCTCTGACATCTTGTGATGGCTCAGAACACTAATTCTCTAAGGACAGACAATTCCTGGTAGTCTTTAACACAGGCAGGTACAGACAACTCCTGACTGAGTTATTTCCCTTGGCCAGCAGTAGGTTTAGTTAAGGTTATAATTGACCAGGACCATGTCCCACCAAGCAATCTTAGCACTATGATGATCTTCAGCATTTGTTATAGTATAGGAGATATGGTCACCTTAGCGTGAAGATCATTGGCAGAATGGGTCCCTGGATGACACTTTGCACTTTTTTAAAGTGCTGTGTGGCCATTACTTTTTTATGACATGATTGAATGTTTAAGCAACAGGATTTCAAATTTCCGAATGTTTCAGTGAAAAAAGCGACTTTGATCAATTACAGTGATAGGTAACTCTGACACAGACATTATCACCTGTGTCCCCTACTCTCCTTACCTAACGGTTTGGACCCGTGAAGGTGCGGGTTAGAATGAACCTTCGGTAACCCATGCTTGTCGTAAGAGGCGACTAACGGGATCGGGTGGTCAGGCTCGCTGACTTGGTTGACACATGTCATCAGTTCCCAATTGCGCAGATCGATGCTCAAGCTGTTGAGCACTAGATTGTCTGGTTTACAGACCGCCGCCATATAGCTGGAATATTGCTGAGTGCGGTGTAAAACTAAACTCACTCACTCACTTACCTAACGGTTTGTTCTTGAGGGCCTTCAGGTTCCGGCAGCCATACTCCTCCAGCATGTGTGCAATCTCCCGATGCATCATAAACTTGTGAGCCACCATCGTGTAGCTGTCCTTGTCCTCAGGGTGGAAGCGTTTCAGGTAGTCCAGGACCGCTGTCTTCAAGTTGTCACCCTGGCAACAGGAACACTTTCATAAATGTCTAGATAATGTCTTCACACACAATAGACACCAAGACAGCATGATCACTCAGTTATGCTCTCTGACACTAAAGTTATATGTCAATTAACAATCTATGACAAATATATGTCTACTAGCCTTAACTTGTGTCTTGGCTTTATTTTCAGTAGATTTGAGTGAGTGAGTGAGTGGGTGGGTGGGTGAGTGAGTGAGTTTGACATCACATCCTTGTCAGGACACAGACATCATTGTTAGCTAAATCAGTTAAACCAACAAATACAGAATCCGCCGGGGTCAGACAGCCAGTAGTGTCTACATACCCTCTCCATCCCCTTCCCCAGCAGCAGTTCGAACTTGTGGTGGAGTTTCAAGGCATCGAAGATATACGTCATCTCATTGAACCGGCCCACACCAGTCAGCAGCCGAATCTGTTGCATTTAAACAGTGACATTTATCACACTTGATCAGGCAAAAGCTGTATGAACCTTTATCTCCTAAATTTTATAGAAGGACATGCTTTTCACTGCTGACATATGTTGTAGTTGTGAAAAACAGGAATTTATGGCCAGAGGCGAGTGATTCAACAAAATAATTAACCATCCACACACAAGAGCCGTGTCAGCCTCATTAGCTCTATAATCAAAGCCCCATACAACTAACCAACAGCATAGAGACATCGATTTCAAATTACAGCGGAATGATATACTTCAGAATCTGAACCAGACTTCAGTGGATGTTGAAGTTCAGTCCTAATCAGTCCCGTCTGGATTAGTGAGATTAGAGCAGACGGTATGTAGCAGAAGGTAAAGAAAACGTAACTGTAGTTAGCATTTAAAGAAATATTACTTTTCAGTGTCCTGGTATTGTGAAAGACAGGTCCCACAGTAGAAAACCTGGGGCTCCTTCCACGAAGCAACCTTTACTAAGGTTAACCTTAACACCCATTCTTTAACACTGCACTAAGGTTACCTTAGTGACTTACAATCACCTTAATGCTTTGTGAAAGGAGGCCCTGGATTGTTGTTTGTGCTATATATTACCATGAGGGAAAACTCCTCCGCGTGGGTGAGACTGTCGGTGCAGATGCGTGCAGCTCGCAGCACGTGTGAGATGCCTTCCATGTTGCAGGCTGCAGTGTGACAGTCATGCGCCATGATCATAAGCTCGGTCTGTATCGCCAGGGCTACAAGCAAGACACGGAGGTCAAGTGACAAATCTATGATACAGCATTGTACATGTTAGCAGTCCTAAAACATACCAGCTAGGGCTGGGACGGGTAGGAAAAAATGGAATCGAGTACCCGCATGTACTTACCAGAATCGGAATCGAGTACCCGGAAATGTAAGGAATACAGCGCTTCTGTCAACTTTCTGAATATTCAATCACGATTTGACAGAGATTATTACAGAAAACATAGAAGGGTGGCAATAAGACATTAAAATGATCTCAAGCTATATAATTTACGTCGGTTTAACCAATATATAACAGTAACACCATTACTTACATTGCTCATTAAAATAAACTTTTCGTTCTTGCTGTTACTGTAACTTGATTACTCACTGCTCATGCGCAGATAAATTGCAGTCATTAATAATAACCTCCATTAATCGGACACTACCAATGATGTAAATGTGTGTTCCGTCATAATGAAAAAGACAAGTTATTATCTGCCCTTGTCATTATAGAGTTCTCTCCCTTTCCGGGTACTCGATTCCTAGAAATAGGACTGAATTCCAGCTGTACCCGATCCGGATTCGAGTCCCCAAGAACCCGTCCCAGCCCTAAAACCAGCTAATCCTGGCATGATGTATATCTAGCACGGCCGTTAGTAGAATTGCAGTTCCTAAATAGGAGACTCATTTCTTATTCCGAACACCTGCGGGCAAGTGACCAAACTTTGCCATATATATTTTGTCACAAGCACACTGGGCCATGTTGGAATTTTATGGGATTGGCTCAGTTAATTACCATCACAAATCGCAGTCAAATGATTCACCTAACTTGGTGGCTATAAGGGGATCAAGTTGTACATTACAGAAGTGTACCTACACTGTTAACTGATAATAGTTTTGTTTTACTCTCATATCTGTTGTACTATCAGCAAGCGCTGGATTTTGGGGGCTAGCTGTAAATGTGATCTCAGCATCATGACAAGAACCCCCTGCCAAGCTGGGTATTCTTGTTACAGGAATATTTGTCTTACTCTGGCCATTTGAGTGCAGGTCATCGGAGCAGTCGCCCACGGCCAGGGAGGCCTCCAGAAGGTTCTCCCCAAGGCGGGAGGGCTCCTTACACAGCTTGATGAACTGGTCAAACATGGAGATCTTCTCAATAGGGTTGAACATCATATCTCGAGGGCTGGATGCCCTCATACCTACAAGAATACAGGACATGGAGTCTTGGGAGTCATATTGGCCTTGATACACACAGGAGTATAATACACCATGTAACATACCTTTATGAGTGAGTGACATCAGGTCTTGAGGGCAAAAGGCCTTCATATCTGCTAAGCGCCATTCTCTTCCCACAGAGGTTACTCCTGTCATATCTTCCTACGTAACCTCTGTTCTAATACGGCCCTTTCATGGTGTGAGCGTTCAAGACTCGTGATTGGAGGCAATCAGATTTAGTTGTGCAATCAGCGACGTTGTTTCAAAAGTGATCATTCGCAAGGCCTCGGTAATTTCCGTATGCTTCGAGAAAACTAAACCTCTTCCCCTGCGCGATGCGCAAACGTTTCTTCTAGACAGAACTCAGTCATGTTATGGCGGATCAGTGGCGTCTCCATCGCTAGCCATTAAACGTCTTGTGTGTAATATCAACACAAGTCCCCGGCAGATGGGGGATATTTGTGGCCCCACATTTGCTTGTGTTAGTCAAGTTGAATCTAAGTCGATGTAACACGTGTTCTGATTGGATAGAAAGAAGGGAGATAATTCGTGTTGCGATCTTTTGCCGCTAGGGGATTTTATGAGAACCGGGAAATATGGCCGTATTAGAACAGAGGTTCGTAGGAAGATATGACAAGTAACCTCTGTGGGAAGAGATGGCTAAGCGCATGTTATTGGCATATTAGACCTTTCAGAGAGTAGTACACATCAGTACCTTCATAAAAATACTGTTTCCTTGTCGTTTTTTGTTGAGCCATTTGAAAACAATATAGAACTTATCTTTAAAACACTTAATACAACCAAACTAAAGTTAGAAAACTTGAAAGATTTGGAGAAGAGATAAACAAAAAATAGTCTAAATCGTGATATGCTCACATAAAAAACAAGTGTTTGCCACTGATATGGCAATGTCCCCCGCCGCTAAAGAATGGAATATCTATATTTACTACTTTTTATTTTTGGGTCACATACAAGATGCCTGAAATGACTGGTGTCTGCGTAATCCCCCAGTGTAGGCTGTCACCAAATTTGAAGACATTGGGTACAACAGTCCATGAGATGCCGTGTTAAGAAGAGTTTGAAAAGTGTTCAAAGTGTCGTGGTGACCTTGAAAATAAGGTCAAGGTCACCTAAATAAACTGGTGTCTGCGTAATCCCCTAGTGTAGGCTGTCACCAAATTTGAAGACATTGGGTACAACAGTCAATGAGATGCCGTGTTAAGAAGAGTTTGAAAAGTGTTCAAAGTGTTGTGGTGACCTTGAAAATAAGGTCAAGGTCACCTAAATAAACTGGTATCTGCGTAATCCCCTAATGTAGGCTGTCACCAAATTTGAAGACACTGGGTACAACAGTGCATGAGATATCGCGTTAACAAGAGTTTGAAAAGTGGTCAAAGTGTCGTGGTGACCTTGAAAATAAGGTCATGGTCACCCAAATCGACTGGTGTCTGCATAATCTCTCAATGTAGGCTGTCACCAAATTTGAAGACATTGGGTACACCAGTTCATGAGATATAGCGAATCAGGACGGACGGACGGACGGACGCCGCTGAAGACATAGTCCCCCGTTCCGTGTTGCGGCGGGGGACAATGAGACATTATTATCTTGTCAGATTGTGGTTTCTTTGTTCAGACTCTCTGTCCCTTACATGAAGTGTTCAGTAATGTAACTAATCTGTTCACTGACCTTGACCCGACTGTCCTCCCATGCTGACCTTGAGAGCCTTGATGATGGATACAGACAGGAAGCTAGCGACCTGTGACACAAGAAGCAATGTAACAGCAAACATTATTCCACATCTCTTCAGCAAAAACTCAAAAAATTTGTATTAGTTTCGCTAATCTTTTGGCTTCAATAATTTTAGGAATATTGCTAGATATGTATCAAGAAAATTGGAATGCTTCTGTTTAAAATATAATGAAAAATCAGTCTGGTTTAAAAATCCAAACATAAACCTGTCTCACTTTGAAAACAATTTGCACCAGCCTCACATCTATGCCAACTGCATACCCACCCTATGTAACAGCAATGATACAGTAAGAAAGTTGGTTAGTAACCTGCTCATCTGACAAACAACTGGTGCTCAGATAGTCCCTGGCAAGGATAAACCGCTGGGGATACGATGTCCGCAGTAGCTCATCCAGGACTGAAAACTCCTCTTTATTAACAACTTGTGCATATTCCACATCAAGCACCTGGAAAAAACATCGAACACCTGTAAACATCTTACTACAATAAGTATGATATTTAGCAAAGCAAAATATATTATCCATTTTCTGTCAACTACACTTATTTTCGATCCGTGAGTAGACGCAATATGATTGTGAATTCTTTGAATAAGGTGGACCAAACTTATAATTATTGGTAACTACCAGTTGTCTGTGGTCTGTGTTTGCTGCGATTAGAACCCCATCGCGGGGGATCGGCTTAAGTACGAAACATACCATTTTGACACTGATTTTAAGGGTCAAGTTTGGGGGTCGGCTTATCTATGGGGTCGGCTTATCTACGGTATTAAATGGTAAGCACTCACACCAACTTCACAAGCACCTTGATACTGTGTATTTACCTACAGAAGAACAAGATATTCAAACCCAAGACCATGTACACCTCCCTTGAGTCTGTCTTGTAGCCTAAGGAAATTACCACTCACACAAACTTTTTGAACACATGACATTGCTACAGAAAGAATTAGAAATGTAAACCTTGCACAACATGACACTCGCTTGATACAGTCTATTTATCTACAGAACACTGTCATGGGTCAACACATACACATGCAACTTTAAATGCGGTGATTATCCTCAGGCAGCACTGTTGCCCATGGTTACAGTGCCCAAGTAGCTTCTCCATGACAACAATGGCATCTTCCTTCTCAACAGGCAGAAAGTCCCAGGATGTAGAGGCAGTTGCCAGACTGACAGCTGAAGTAAGATTCACCATAAGTACATCAGTTGCAGGTTATAGAGAAACATTAATGCATAATGCTTATAATGTACAAAGACAATTGATCCACCATAATACACAAACATACCAAATATTTTTAGTGAGTGAGTGAGTTAGTTTTACACCGCACTCTGCAATATTCCAGCTATATGGCGGCAGTCTGTAAACAATCGAGTCTGGGCCAGACTATCCAGTGATCAACAGCATGAGCATCGATCTATGCAATTGGGAACCGATGACATGTGTAAACCATGTCAGCGAGCCTGACCACCCGATCCCGTTAGTCGCCTCTTTACGACAAGCATGGATTACTGAAGATCAATATTCTAACCCGGATCTTCACAAGTCAAATATTTTTAGAAAGTTGATCACTCTTCCAGTCATATTGTACAAGAGTCAGCTACTGCTCCTCTAGTAGTATCCCAGCTCCCTCTAGAGGTACAACTGAACTATCCACCTCCCACTATCAGCTGTATAGCCACAGAAAGTACAAATATTTCTTAACGTAAGGCGTCAGCACTTACAACTTGATGTGCGACTAAACCCAGAGAATGATCCAAGGCTTGACCTTGACCTTCTGTCTATTGTCAGAAGACTCCTTATCTCAGGTTCCATTGTTTCTCGAGTAACAGTGTCATTACTGAGCCGTATACATGTCTGAAACACACCAATATCAGCAACTTTGTATTTGAAAACAACACAATTCAAATACAAGATGCTGTTAACAGAGATGAGGGATGTTATTTTCATGGATGATGGATGCTACTTAAATAGATGGCTACTTACAATGATGCTGGATGCTACTTAAATAGATGGCTACTTACAAGGATGATGGGTGTTACTCAAATGAATGGCCACTTACAAGGATGATGGATGCTACTTGAATAGATGGCCACTTACAAGGATGATGGATGCTACTTGAATAGATGGCTACTTACAAGGATGATGGGTGTTACTCAAATGAATGGCCACTTACAAGGATGATGGATGCTACTTGAATAGATGGCCACTTACAAGGATGATGGATGCTACTTGAATAGATGGCTACTTACAAGGATGATGGGTGTTACTCAAATGAATGGCTACTTACAAGGATGATGGATGCTACTTAAATAGATGGCTACTTCCATGGATGATGGGTGTTACTCAAATAAATGGCTACTTACAAGGATGATGGATGCTACTTAAATAGATGGCTACTTACAAGGATGATGGGTGTTACTCAAATGAATGGCTACTTACAAGGATGATGGGTGTTACTCAAATGAATGGCCACTTACAAGGATTATGAGTGTTACTCAAATGAATGGCCACTTACAAGGATGATGGGTGTTACTCAAATGAATGGCTACTTACAAGGATGATGGATGCTACTTAAATAGATGGCTACTTACAAGGATGATGGGTGTTACTCAAATTAATGGCTACTTACAAGGATGATGGGTGTTACTCAAATGAATGGCTACTTACAAGGATGATGAGTGTTACTCAAATGAATGGCTACTTACAAGGATGATGGGTGTTACTCAAATGAATGGCTACTTACAAGGATGATGGATGCTACTTAAATAGATGGCTACTTACAAGGATGATGGATGCTACTTGAATAGATGGCTACTTACATGGATGATGGGTGTTACTCAAATGAATGGCTACTTACAAGGATGATGGGTGTTACTCAAATGAATGGCCACTTACAAGGATTATGAGTGTTACTCAAATGAATGGCCACTTACAAGGATGATGGGTGTTACTCAAATGAATGGCTACTTACAAGGATGATGGATGCTACTAAATAGATGGCTACTTACAAGGATGATGGAAGGATGATGGATGCTACTTAAATAGATGGCTACTTACAAGGATGATGGGTGTTACTCAAATTAATGGCTACTTACAAGGATGATGGGTGTTACTCAAATGAATGGCCACTTACAAGGATGATGAGTGTTACTCAAATGAATGGCTACTTACAAGGATGATGGGTGTTACTCAAATGAATGGCTACTTACAAGGATGATGGATGCTACTTGAATAGATGGCTACTTACAAGGATGATGGATGCTACTTGAATAGATGGCTACTTACATGGATGATGGGTGTTACTCAAATGAATGGCTACTTACAAGGATGATGGATGCTACTTGAATAGATGGCTACTTACATGGATGATGGGTGTTACTCAAATGAATGGCTACTTACAAGGATGATGGATGCTACTTGAATAGATGGCTACTTACATGGATGATGGGTGTTACTCAAATGAATGGCCACTTACAAGGATGATGGGTGTTACTCAAATGAATGGCTACTTACAAGGATGATGGATGCTACTAGAATAGCTGGCTACTTACAAGGATGATGGGTGTTACTCAAATGAATGGCCACTTACAAGGATGATGGATGCTACTTGAATAGATGGCTACTTACAAGGATGATGGGTGTTACTCAAATGAATGGCTACTTACAAGGATGATGGATGCTACTTAAATAGATGGCTACTTACAAGGATGATGGGTGTTACTCAAATGAATGGCCACTTACAAGGCAAGGATGATGGATGCTACTTGAATAGATGGCTACTTACAAGTATGATGGGTGTTACTCAAATGAATGGCCACTTACAAGGATGATGGGTGTTACTCAAATGAATGGCCACTTACAAGGATGATGGATGCTACTTGAATAGATGGCTACTTACAAGGATGATGGGTGTTACTCAAATGAATGGCCACTTACAAGGATGATGGATGCTACTTAAATGGATGGCTACTTACAAGGATGATGGATGCTACTTAAATGGATGACTACTTACAAGGCTGATGGATGCTACTTAAATGGATGGCTACTTACAAGGATGATGGATGCTACTTAAATGGATGGCTACTTACAAGGATGATGGCAAGATCCTGACTGTAGTGATAAAAGACGCTGGTCACCTGGCAACTCTCACGAATCTTGCCCTCATCAAGTAACTGTCCGATCAGTGAGTTAAGAGCTTGTGTTTCCTGAAACCATCATTGAAGTGGTAACCATGTTACTCAACTGGACAATTATATAGGTTATTCTAGGAAGTGATCTATCAGTCATCATAGAACAAGTGAGTGAATGAACACTGTTGCGTTACGCTGTATTGACTATATTTTAGAACAAAGAATACTGCAAATGAAAATGCATTTTTTAAATATGAAAACAAAACTGAGGCATTGATGGTATAGAGTGTCACATGTACATTGTGTTCTAGGTGAATGAAGTAAAGCTGCACCAAGCTTCATTACAATACCTCAGGTGAGACATGTGACTGTCTTCTACTGGGTGGCATCTTTCCCAGGCAGAGAAGCTCGGACTTATCTGCTGATGACTTCCCATTGTCTGTGGCCTCCGTGACAGACAGGATCTCCTCCACAGGCTCGCTACTCTCCTCACTCTCCCCCTACAACAAACAACACACCAACTTCTAAAAGCTACTCTCCTCACTCTCCCCCTACAACAAACAACACACCAACTTCTAAAAGTTACTCTCCTCACTCTCCTACAACAAACAACACACCAACTTCTAAAAGCTACTCTCCTCACTCTCCCCTACAACAAACAACACACCAACTTCTAAAAGCTACTCTCCTCACTCTCCCCCTACAACAAACAACACACCAACTTCTAAAAGCTACTCTCCTCACTCTCCCCCTACAACAAACAACACACCAACTTCTAAAAGCTACTCTCCTCACTCTCCCCCTACAACAAACAACACACCAACTTCTAAAAGCTACTCTCCCCACTCTCCCCTACAACAAACAACACACCAACTGCTAAAAGCTACTCTCCCCACTCTCCTCACTCTCCCCTACAACAAACAACAACACCCAACTTCTAAAAGTTACTCTCCTCACTCTCCCTACAACAAACAACACACCAACTGCTAAAAGCTACTCTCCTCACTCTCCCCCTATAACAAACAACACACAAACTTCTAAAAGTTCGGGCTACCTCCCTCACTCTCCCCTATAACAAGCCTAGTGGTTAAAGCTTTTTGAGTGGCATTAGTCAGCCCCGAAGACCGGGTTCAATCCCCCCATGGGTACAATGTGTGAAGCCCATTTCTGGTTCCCCCGCCGTGATGTTGCTGGAATATTGCTAAAAGCGGCGTAAAACCAAACTCAGTCAGTCAGTCTAAAAGTTCATCATGAATTGTAAATAGTCACAAATCGAAACATTTCTTCTAGCAAACATTATCAAAGATGTATTGCCATATTACTTTCATTCTTATTAACACTGTCACAGCAATCATCTTGAAATATCCTATGATCATCACCGTGACAACCGTGACCAGCACCACATTGTTTAAGACAACATTAGAAAATACAGGATAATTTGAAGTAAAGGCAGAAGGAGGAACACACACTTCAATACGATCCAGTCATTGTGACTCCTATGGGTCAGTATGCACACACTACCTTTTGTTGTGAGATCTTGGCTTGTATGGGTCAGTATGCACACATTACCTTTTGTTGTGAGATCTTGGCCTGTATGCGACAGTGCCACATCTGCCTGTGAACCCGGTCATACAGGCTGTCTGTGTCCTCGCTGCCCGTCATCAGTTCCAGACACAGCTGGTAGATACCGGCCTTCTCACTCATGCTGCCAATTGCTTCTGCTTCCAGCTGTAAACAAACGCAACATGTCTTTTAATTTCAGCATATGGATAGATGTCGGATCACGAGGCTCTGAAGCTCACCTACATTGTTTCCTACATGAATCATTGGAGATCAAATTCCACATAAGTTTGAAATTTTGTGGGCTCTTGGTTCAGCTTATGTAAAAACTGAATTGTGTTGTAGAGCGTGAATAGAGTAGTCAGTATGTTACTTTTCTAACATACAAATATATCAACTACACTTGTAGTTAAGCCTTTGCAGTCCTGACATACAGACATTGATTAAATAATCTACAGAAGTTTCATGTCTCAGTGAACTCAGTGAATATTCAGTCTGATCATGTACTTTATCCTCTCTATTTCAAATTGTTTAAAAAGTGACCACTTGTTTAATCTTACTTTGAAGAAATCTATGACACTAGATGGCGAGATCTGATTCAGTCTGAACTTTTCCATACATGACCTCCAGAACTGGGCCCTGGCAACCTTTGACCTCCACACCAGAGTCTTCTAACATCTCTTTCTCTGTTAACATCTGAAGGTAAAACGCATGCTCATTGCATAGTTTGTCCACAAAGAACATTTCAAGTCCTGAGTCAAAGTGGCTGACTAGTTGATCCTCCTCCTGAACAGTGAAAGATATTACTACTCAAGTAGTAAACCAACAGATGGTAAGATACGAAACTCTTACAACAAACGTTTGATGTACAAAGTTGACCTGTCTTGTAGGATGAGTGAGTTTAGTTTTACGCCACTTTTAGCATTATTCCAGCAATATCACGGCGGGGGACACCAGAAATGGGCTTCACACATTGTACCCATGTGAGGAATCGAACCAAGGTCTTCGGCGTGACGAGCGAAAGCTTTAATCACTAGGCTACCCCACTGCCCTGTCTTGTATGGATTTGAGCGTGATTCTCATGGTTACACTGGATCATTATGGTCACACCACAATCCAGGACCATTTGTTCATTATCGCCAATCACAGTGTGATACTGCCTAGTGATACTGATGTCACAGCCTCTGTACCTGAACTTAACCTCTGCTCTTGCTCTCAGTTGGTGTTGTCGCAATGTGGAGTGGAGATGACCGTAACGTGTCTTCACAAGTATACTGTCAGAAGTTTATTTTTGTTCTTCTCATGCAAATTTGTTTTCACGAACACCTGGTGTCTCAGTGTGTTTAAGGGATCCACTCATATAGTTTCACTGCTACTTTGCTTCTCACGCCATCTGTCTTCCGGGATAATCGAGGCTTGTGACTCCCTGTTACTGACGTCATACATTTACAAGTTGGGGTGTTTCTAACAATCAAGATAGGTTATAACCCTAACCAAGAACATATTCATCCCATATTTGTAACAAGAGTTATTGGAGAAGCAATACATAATCATGGATTGTCTGTTCTGCCATAAAGAGACCCATTGAGCCAAACATGAGTGGATGTTACCTCCTTTAAGGTGATGTCGTCACAGGACAGGTTAGAGAGCCGGGCGAACTTGTACGCATCACCAAATGCCTTCCTCTCAATCAGCAGGATGATGGTCTTCTCCATCTCTCTACGACTGCCATCTTCCTGCTGTAGGAATGCTGGGAAGGCCACTGTGTCCAGCTGGTTGGCATGCAGGATACGCACTAACTTATGGAGACGGCTGTAGTCGGGCACTGTAATGGAAATGAAAACCTCATATAAAGTCATATTCTTCTTTTTTCTTTGTTATAGAACAGCCATTGATAATGTATCCACCACACTAATAAATAGAGAGCAGACGGCTTCTTCTGTTCAACAACATAGAGTAACCGGACACAGTTGGTATTTTCAACTTTCTCAGGCCATGAGATGAGACAAAGCTTTTACTTGGCAAGAACTAATGAACATTTTATTTATTATGGGTTTTTAGTGATGATTATGATTTTTTTGGGTAAACCGTACAGTGATTAGTTCCAACAGAAAGTAGGTGTCATACCATCAAAACTGAAGACAAGAGCAATATTTTCTTGATCCAATAATTTGACGAGTTGCAGTGCCTCATACAGATTGGAAGTGTGACGCAACTGACGTTGTAGCAGCCGATTGGCTGTCATTTCTAGCCAATGGGAGTTCCCCAAAATTAACTGCTGTGAAGATTCCAATCTTCCCTCAGGGTACTGCAATGTAAAACGACAACATATCTTCATTTCAAAAGTACACCCCAATTAAATTCTAGAATATAGAAAAACTTAATTAACTTGATTATCAATTATATGATGTGTAATTACATCATAGTTAATACTCATAATCAACAACAAGACTAATGAGCTGATATGTATACCATTCTTAATGATACCATTGATTATTTTGCTCACATTATTGTATCGTCACTATATGGCTGAAATATTGCCGAGGTGATGTTAAATTTTAACTCACTCACTCACATTATTGGAAATGTGCAAAAAGGTGGGCAGTTGGCACATAAGTGAGATAATATACATGACATAACAGCTGATGCACAGAAGTACAGACCTTACAAAGTGAATTTGTTGCAATAGTGTACACTAAGGAAACTAGAGGTTGACAGCATGAGGGACAACCAATGATTACACCGTCTTATGTCACGCAATCAGCTGAGAATGTTATCATAACATTATTAATCATCATTTGATGGTTCCAACCATCCAGGGTTGCACAGTTTTATCCCCGATATGTATCTTCATTGAGGATTAGATCATGTTTAATAACTAATTAGATCATGAAATACACTGGCACCTTCACTCTCCAATAGTCTGGAGCTCTGGTGTAGGCTAATTTAGCATTCTCTTCACAGAGCAAATACAAACATTCAAGAGCATGCATAGCTTCATAATTTGGCAATAATTATTACATTTGACATTGCATCCTTGAAATCACAAAGAAGACCAGTGCAGATGCTGTAGTTCCTTCCCTGTGTTAACTCAGCCAGGAACTTCAAAAACGGGAGCAGTGGTGAGTTCTGAAACCAAAGCAAGAACACACAATTGATTGGTTTAACCAGCCCAATCCTATCTGTCACTCTGTTACTAGTAGGCATGAAAAAAGGTTTCAACAATTAGTGAGTGAGTGAGTTAATATTTAACGTCACATCGGCAATATTGCAGCCATATCGTGACGATTTTAACAATTAAGACATAAAAACGTTTTAGCTTGAGCATGCTGAGCCATTGTTTTACCATAAATCTACAACAAACGTTTGACATGAAAGTCTTGATACTTACGGTTTGAAATATGTCAAATCCTGTAGCAAGAGTATATTCCCAATGTTTGCCAATGTAAAGGTCAATCAGAATTTCAAGCTCTGCCATATTCCAAACTGAGGCTGATTTCCCATGAGCCTCTAGGAACTGAGCATGCTCAGTACGATCCATCATGGCCACCAACCATCCACACAAACAGCCAGCCACTGAAGCATCCTAAATATCAAAAGCATGAAGTGGAACTAAAAAAACTATACATACCATAAATATGATCAGTGTCAGTTAAAGCAGAGCTACTATACCAATGTAATACCTCTGTGCATAAAGAACTGAGGAACTTTCTGATCAGGCAATCAGCATTGAGGCTTCTACACTCTCACTCTCAGACTGAAGGATGTATTCAGATCTAGATATCTGATTTCCATGTTTAGAACACAAACTGGACATTCCTTCTCTGAATTTACACAGCGAAAGTTAAATCTATATATTGTACACGCCCATTCATTTCTAGACCCTATAGGGGGTAACCTCAAAGAAATATTTGTGTTCTTTGAGAGTTTCCTTTAGAAGAAAAAAAACTTTTGGAATTGAGATAGTAAAAAAATATATGACAGGCGAAAGTGCTTCCTTCATTTAGACTAGCAAGTAACAGATGACTGACAGTACCTTCTATGACTGTGTCTTCTGATCTTCATGCAGTAAGGTATTGTATCGAAGTAGTAGTATAGGGAATAGCGGAACGGGACCGCATATATGCACCATGCCTAGGAGCTCCATACTAGCTAATTCGGCTCCCACAGCCACACAAAAATTAGTGTTTTTCACAAAACTATATCGAACCACTTTTCGTCTCCCGACGCAAGTGCACTCAAATTAGAGATATGCGGGTGTATGGATATAGAAAAAATAAATGCCAGGAACCAAGCTATCACGCGAAGCCTATGCCGATATCCGATCTGGTCGTTTGTGGCTTCGGGAAGCGAAGAGGAAGAACCACGTATCGCAGTTTCCAGATATACATCGCATCCGAGGTGGTTTGGACCCCGAACCACAGACAACAACTTCCGACATGGCAGAAGTCTTCGAAACCCTGCTGGAGAAGTGTCCCCATGTCTTGCTTTCCGACCGAGAGAAACAAATCCTGGATCAATCAGGACACACCTGTTGATAACAAACTAGAATTCTTGTTTCTTCATTTATTCTTATTCTTGAGTCTAAGTTTTAAACATTAGATTGACTGTAAGAGAATTGAAAAAATATAATTAAGTATATGGTCAACATGTTCCCTAAACTTACACATCTACAATATAGTGACAAACATTTTGGACAATGTAAATTGTAGTACAAACAAACTTGAAAAACTTTCACAATACCATGTGCAAAACCAGTATCTTAATTACATTGAATAAACAGGAAGCTTAATATTTCAAACATTTTTCATACCAAACTTTAGGCCAAAAGAATTCTTTGAGTATAAATTTTGAAGTCAAAGCCAATTTCCACAAGTCAAGTCCAAAATAGCTATAAAGCCTAAATTATGAAAAATTATCTTATTGTTTGGTACAAGTTAAGAAAATGCATTAAAACAAATTCCTCTTAAATGAATTGTCAAATAAGTGAATACATTTGGCTTACCATTACTTTAGACCCTCATGAGTCCTGCCTGTGTCACATGTGCTTGCAGCACAAACCACATGGTCATTTTGTCCCCAAGAAATTATCTCCCTCATCTTAAGGTTGACATAAAATGAGCACTTCATCAAAATGAAATGTGGCATTCCAAAAACTTTGAAATAGAGATAAACCTTTTTATCCATTACTACTAATTAATGTTGCAGAATATTTGTGCAATATGAAATGGTAACATTGTGGAAATATTATTAACTAAAATGTTTTACATCCTAAACCAATTGAGCCATTATAACTGAAATAAATGAAAATCATTATTTTGACCTTTACACACCGGTCTCCTAATTGTAGAATCTGCATGAAACAATTACAAATGATAGTACAAAATGGTCAAAATTGTCTTGATTTTAAAGTCATTTCATACTGGAAAGAACTGGTGTCTTCTATTTTCACATAAATAACACCAATAAATATTTGAGGTACATTCACAGTTTGTCATAAGGTCTTTCAAGAGTTCTGTTAATTTTTTAACCATGTACAATGATACACAATTTGTTTATAGGACGGACAAGCTCTGTTGTAGCTGTCCTCACACGCACAATACGTACAGATCCCTTTTTGTCTGTCATGACCTCCATGATACGTCCCAGTGACCATGAATTACGAGGAGAACTGTCTGCTAGAAGAACAATGTCTCCAACTTTAAGATTGGGCTTCCTTGCAACCCACTTCTGTCTCACTTGCTGCATGGTAAGGTATTCCTTTAGCCAACGCTTCCAAAATGTATCAGCTAAATACTGTACTTGCCTCCATCGTCGACGAGAGTAGACATCGTCTTTACAAAAAGTTCCTGGTGGCATCTTTTGACCTGAACGCATAAGCAGAAGATGGATAACCGCAACTTCTGCATCCTTTAGTACTGAAACTGTCAACATGGGCTTTGAAACGCACAATCCTTTGGGTTTATTTGCACCTGTATTTGATTCCAATTGCTTTTCTTTTACCTTTCTTTTCAGCTCTCTCATTGTTAAGATGATCCATCCAACAGCCTTTCGGAGTCGTATCCAACTTGAGTAATGATTCAATAATCTGTCCATTACATCTTGGGACTGGCAAGTTACTAGACAACTTACAGAGTTCTTGACCTCTGGGTCTTCATCAGGTACAGACACACATATGTCTGGAGAAAGGGGCCATTCAACTCTCTTGGTCTCCACAGAAACCCTGGTCCTTTAAAACCACTGTTGCTAAGTTTGAACTTGTCAAACATCATCCCTCTTGATGCAACGCTCGCCTGCTGATTGAGCTTAGTGTTGACGTACTTCCACTGCTCGACCAGAACCCTCATGGATAGTTGTGAGCCTATTTGCTTACAAAGGTTTTGAATCTTGATGTACTGTTATGGATATATCTGAGCACCGACATACTGTCAGTCCAAAAGAAAGTCTCATCTATTTTGTATTGTAGCTCTTTTGGTCAATAGCTTACACAGGCTAACTGCAACTGTAGCAGCTGTTAGCTCTAATGATATTGTCATTTTCTTCAGGGGTGCCACCCTTGATTTAGCCATTACCAAGACACAGTGAACATTGTTGTGTACATTTGTTAGACGAAGGTAGGCTACAACACCATAGCCAACTTCACTAGGCATCACAAAACAGATGCAACTGATACGATGTAATTTTACCAAACCCTTGTGGTTTGTAACACCGTTTCTACTGCTATCTCATCCAACCTTGGCAAGTTCTTTAGCCACTGAAGCCAAATTGTCAACGAAGCTTCATCTATTTCTTCATCCCATCCAAGATCTTTCCTGTATAATTCTTGGCAATCTACAAGTAAGGTGCTACGAAACCCAGAGGATCGTATACACTGCTTACAACAGATAATATGACTCTTCTGGTAGCTGTCTTATATTTGTCTTGAATCTTGAAATCTAGAGTATCAGAGTCAACAAACCAAAAGGCACCAAGAGCTCTCTCACTGGGAAGAGATTCACATTCCAGATTCAATTCCTTCACCTCCTTGGCTCTCCTCAGTTGGGATAGTTTTCATTACAGATTTGCTATTGCAGACCCATTTTGTCAAACGAAACCCTCCATCTTTGCAGAGCTTTGATAGTTCATTGATTAGGTAGACTGCCCTTTCTTCATCTTCTACAGATGCTAAACAGTCATCAACATAGAAGTTGTTCTTAACCATGTTAACAACTTCAGGAACATATCTTTTCTTTTTGTTGTCCTCAGCAGTCTGTTGCAAAGCGAATGTGGCACAACTAGATGAAGAAATGGCCCCAAACAAATGGACACACATTCTATAAATTTCTGGCTTCTCATCACAATCACCTCTTGGCCATCAGTAGAAGCTAAGGTAGTTACGATCTTCAAGGGCACTTTCACACGATAAAACATAGACTCAATGTCTCCCATAAACGCAACTTGGTCTTGGCGGAACCTGAGAAGAATGCCAATCAAGCTGTTTGTCATGTTTTTGCCTTGTATGAGCATATTGTTCAAGGACACTCCTTGAAAACCAGCACTACAATCAAACACTACTCTTATTTTGTCTGGCTTTCTTGGGTGGTATATCCCATGATGAGGTATGTACCATATCTTTCCTGGCTGACCTTCCAGCTCATCAGTAGGTACCTTTTCAACATACCCTTGACTAATATGTTTTCCATGAATGTTTCATAGTCATCATGAAACTTTGAATCAGTCAAAACTTCCGCTTCAAACTGTCTAGGCGTTTCAGAGCTTGCACACTGTTGTTGGGCATTTGTACATTGGAGCACTTAAAAGGCAGGTTAATGTAATATTCACCTTCTTGCAAAGAAACAGACTCGAAACCTTGTCGAAACCTTTTGTCCTCTTGAGACATTTCTGCTTTGTCGTCAATGGATCTTTCAGGGAAGTCAAAGTTTATGCTCTTTCCTTACCAAACTATTCAATTCACTTATTTCCTCAATATTTCTGACACTTACAATGTCCGTTCTCATAGATGGAAAATGTTGCTTTTCTCCTTGTCGACGGTCTGACAACATTCCATAAAATCCATCCTAACCGGGTTCTGGTCGCATGAGGGCTGCCTTGAGGACCAACTTTGACTTCAAATGGAGAATAGGCATCTGGGGCATTTCCGCCTATCAAAAGATCAACTCCAGATTCAAGATGAGGTACATGAATTCCATCAAAATGAGGCCACTGTGCAACATCAGCATCAGTCGGATGTGCCTGTTTGATACTGGGATATTGCTCCTAGAATACACTGTAGGAAGGACAACGGTATTCTTTAGATCCATATCATGAACCTTTAAACCAGAGATTGCACGAACAAAGGAAGTATGAGGTTCTCCAAGTGTGTATATGGTTATTTCAACCTTCTTTGACTTTCCATTGCATCCAAGCTGATTCATCAGGGATTCTGAACAAAAGGAGATGGTACTTCCAGGGTCCAGGAATGCATATGTCGATATCACTTTTAATGTATCTTTGAATGTTACTTTCACAGGGATTACAGCAAGTGTACAATCACCTTTACTGTCACCGGGTCTCCATATCTTCATCAGCTTGACCTGTACATGCACT